ACTGTAAAGGACACCCCACTCTCGGTAGCCCTCATTTTGGCCTGTTGAGTAAGCTAGCAGCTGCCGTCTCTGACTGGCTGGTGGGCTCAAGGAGTGGGCTTTGCTGGGGTCCCCCCACCCACTCTGCCCAGCCAGAGGCATTGGCCTGAGGCCCATGAGGCAGCACAGCCCCAATATTTTTTGGAGCCATAGTCTGCATTTATCAGTGGGTGAGAGGAGCTGGCCCTTGCTGACGCTGCTGGCCAGGAAGAATTTAGGAGTCTGATTTGTATGCATGCTCTCCGGCCAGGTGAGCGGAGTGGGGGGGGGCTTGCCAGTGTCAGGTCTTGTCCCCACTGCCACAACTTGCCCAGGAGACCAGAGATTAGGAGAAACTTGCAATCCGCCCCCGCTATGACACTTTGTCCTCCACCATTTTAGCTGCTCTTACCAAATTTTAAAAATATTAAGTCGCACCAGCCAGTGGGCGAGTGAGTGGCTGGCTCTCTACCTGCCAGCCAGGCACCAGATCTCTGCTTCCAAACAAGCAGCCTTTGGTCTGGTCTTATTTGTTACTTGACAGTATTTCTCTCCTTCCCGGGCGTGGGGGAAGGGAATGCAGGGTGTCCTTTTTCACAAAATACAAGTTGTATTTCTTAGTGGGATGGGAAGGAACAAGCTTTTATCGCCATAATTTTCTTTGTAAGTGAGAGTGTTGGTAGTGGGTGAGAAGATATTGGGGATGGGATAATTTGCAAAAAGGATTGGGCAGCTACAAACTTCGAACTGCTGAGTTGGAATTGGAACGTTATTAATCTCTAATCTTTCTCCTCCCCGAGTGAGGAGGTTGGGGCGGGGGGAGGGAATGCCAGGGTGTCTCTTTTCACAAATGCAAGCTGCATTTCGTATTGGGGTGGGAAGGAACAAGCTTTGATCCCCTAATTTTCTTTGTAAATGAGGGAGTTACTTAACTGCCCCCTAAGAAATGTAAATACCTCCAAATGAAAAAAAAACACCTGGCTTTCTAAGGCTCTGTGGGTTCTCCTGGTTTAGTTTAGTGCCTGCCTGTCCCGTAGCCAACTCTGATCAAAAGCACGAAGGGTGATGGTCACTGTGCTGGCTCTCTTGTAGGCTTGGAGCTTTATAAAATGTTGCAGTAATTTATTGTGCCTTTGTTTCTCTCTCTCTCTCTCTCTCTCTCTCTCTCTCTCTCTCTCTCTCTCTCTGTGTGTGTGTGTATGTGTGTGTGTGTGTGTCTGGGTGTGATGTCTGGCTGGCTGGCTATTCTGACTATGTGGGTGGAGAAGGGGATCTAAACTTATCCCCCACCCACCCAAAATATGTTCTTGCTTGTCTCAAAAATGATATAGCTTTGAAAAACTTCACTAGTTTGGCCCAGTCAGACCTCTGGTTCTGCTGGCTATTTTCTACTGACAGTGGCCTCAGGAAGAGCTTTTCCCTGATTGCTGAGGTCCTGTGATTTGAACCAGAGACCAGGTCCATGCAGAAGCGATGGCTCCTCTCTGATACTGAGTTTGGACAGGAAAGTCACCCAAGCTGTGTGGTGCAATACCATCAGTGCTCCAACCACAGGAACAATGTGTTGTCTCTGACTTGAGTGTTTTCTCAAGTTTGTACTCCCTCCATGCCCATCCTCCACAAACAACTTAGGTGATAACACCCTAAACTGCCTCAGGTGGGTAGCTGTGTTGGTCTGAAGCAACAGACCAAAGTTTGAGTCCAATGGCACATTAAGTCTTAAAGGTGCCACTGGACTCAAACTTTGTTCTGGGATATAAAAACTAACTCTTTTTCTTCTTCTTAGCTCACTTATTGGCCCCTCCTGAACTGCTGCCTATTATGAACTGAGATCGAGGCAGCTCTTAAACAAGTGATTTCTGTATTCAGCTCATAACTTAACATAGGACAACATTCAACAGAAGCTTCTAACTTTTATACTTTTTGAACTGGCAAAGCCACACCTCTAGAACAGATAATGACCAATAAAAATGCATCGCTTAGGACCAATGGAATTGGTTCCCGCTGAAAGTCAGTGTCTCTTTGGATTGGCCTATTTGCAGCATTGGCCAATCCGGTCTCGCATTTCAGCAACTAGGGCTTCTATGGAGCTGTAAGCCCAGTTCCTAACTTCACATAATAACTGAATACATAATGCAGTAAGGAATGCAGTAAGGAATAAGAGGACACCCGTAGTGGATTATGGTCATGTCTGCAGGTTTGTTTGTAGCACTGTAGGGACCGTTCAGTATGGCTTGCTCCCGGATCCTCTGAACTTCCCTCAGTCTGCTGTCAAAGGCTTCAGGATAGTGTGCCTAATGTTTCTGTTGCTCTAAGGATCCTTCAACATCACAATTAACAGGATTTTTCAAAATGCTTTGTGATTTGTGTTTTTTTGTTTGAAGAGAAAATCAGAAATTATATTTCTTGTTCTCACAATAAAAAAAATAAATTAGCAATTTCAAATTTTGTGTTTTTCATTCTTCCTAAAATGCAGTTATGTTTGAAAGACCTCAACCTGAGACTCTAGAGAGCTGCTGCTAGTCCAAGTTCACAATACGGACCTTGAGGGACCAAGGGTCTGATTCAGTATAAGGCAGCTTCATTTGTGTTCATTCTAGAATAACCTATCCTGCAGTCACTCCATCAGTTGCTACTAGTCCATTCAAAGTACTGGTTGCCATGTACAACGCCCTTCATGAGATGCTGCATCTTCTACTGTCACAGCAGCTTTGGTCTTCTGAAGAGCTCGCCAGCTCTGAGTTGGGAAATACCTGGATATTTTTGAAAGGGAGCCTGGGCGGTGGGTGTTGTCTTCTGACACACTTCCGGTGATGTCAGGGTGTGTGGCATATGCAAATAAGTTATGCTAATGAGTTATGCTAATGAGCTCTTGCACCTCTTTTTCTCCTAAATGACCCCTGGTAACAAGGATACCTGAAGAACCATTTCCTCCCATACTGTCCTGCCTGCCAGTTAAAATCTGCCTCTCAAGCCCTGCTCTCTGTGCCCCCCTTTCAGAGGACAGAGGGGGTAACAACTAGAGGCAGGGCATTTCCTATGGTGGCAGCTCATCTTTGGAACGCCCTCCCCCTTGAGGCTTGCCTGGCATGTACTTTACTTTCTTTGGGGCACCAGGCTATGTCAAAGGTCCCTGGGGCTGTTGTACAAAAAGAAACCAAACCTCTTTATTTTATTAAAATATTATGAAGTTCTATTTAATTTCTGTCAAAATTCATTCTGCTTGCAATATGATGCTTTATAAAGTCATACAGCAGAAAAACAAGAAAACTAGCTTAACTATCTAACACATTTTCAAGACTTGCATTAGATGCCACACAAACTTTAAGTCCAAGAGTCAAAGCCCATAGCTCATGTGCTCTCTACATTGCTGTATATTGCAATATAATCTTATCATAGTACAGGCCTTCAGTCCATCAGAATCCAAGCTGGCTTCTTTCTCCAGGCCCTTAGCTCATTTATAGGTTTTGGCCAAGTAGCATCAGGTGATGGTACCCACATTCTTGCTGGAACCCTCTAGAAAATTACCTCATCATTCCTGATTCTCCCCCTCCCATCCTGTGGGCCACAAGTTCTCATGAGAAGCTAATGACCACATCCCCAACTCTGACCTTGAAGATGATACAGGCTATATAGGCCAAGATACCAATTAGTAACACCTGCAGGATGGAACCAGCCCATAACTGTTCACATTAATCCTTGAGGGCAGGCAAGGGGTGCTTTGACTTACAGGCTAGAACCCTTTATTTAAACCCAAGGTTTTGTTTGGGGGTCTTATCTTATAAGCTATTTAATGGTCTGCTTCTGTTTTATGAATAGTTTTTATGCTGCTTATGTCTAATGGCTTGTTTTTAATGGTTTTTTAATACTGTAGTTTTTAATTGCAAGCTTCCTGAAGCAGGTCTCTGAAAAGAAATGTTTTCAATAAATAAATAAAGTTTATTGTTTCAAGAAGGAACCTAGGAGTTCTATTGGCTCATGAGTTCCCGCCCCCTCTCTTCATGCATCTCAGGAAATTAATCAGTTTTTGGTTTTTGAGATAATCAGTAGTTGGTGATTCTCAAATTACAGGTTTTTTTCCTCCCTGCGAATCAGAATTTAAACTTGGAATAAACTGTAGTTTTAAATCTTGGAATATAGGGAAGAGAACAAGCAACTGTTTGTCTTTCAGGCATAACTACAGACTACAGTTTGCTACAAAAGTGGAAATGAGCCTCAGGGAGGATGAGGTACAAACTCCAGAGGAACCCACAGGCTCATTCCTATTGAAAACCCATGGTAGCTCTTTCTTGTGAACCATAACTAACTATATGATAAATGGGTACAAGGAAAGAGCAGTGTCCCTTATGCATAATGGCAAAGCCTAAGGATGTAATACTTTTTTCACTAAACTCATTTAATACTGCCCCCTGCAATTTTCACTTTGTTTCTTTACTCCCAATTTCCCATGTATTTATGGAGTCTAGCTTCTGAAAACTGATTTTTGTGCATAGTAAAAGATAAAAAATGATAAAACACATCATACTTGTATACTTTTTCCTACTTGTAGTATTCTCTGACTTAAAAAAAATGTTTAAAATTCCAGTCTTCTCCTTACAGATGTTGGTGAACTTAGCTTTTTTTTTAAGCTGTTTAAAATATTGTATTTGACAACTTGATATTTTATACAAGTGTCTTAAAACTAATTCACAAGACTTAAGATGTAAGGATTAGAGCATTAAGCATCCTCTGATATCCAGATGGTTTTACAGAAAAATGCTTCAGTATTTACAAGGGGGTTTGAACCCAAATTTCTTCACCTCAACATTCATATCTGCTATTCTACAGTGGCTTTTTAATTCTCAGGTTTGCCGTTTTGCAGTTACAACAACAACAAAAATTCAAAAAAATATTGTGGTGTATGGGGTTTCTAAAGCAAATGTATGACAAAGAATTATTCAGGAATGCAGCATTGTATAAACCAATATTTATTTATTTTTCAGATAGTCATTGCGAGCATCATGTGCAGTTACAATAAAGATGATTGGACTGAACTTTCAAAAATGGCTGAGGTAATGGCCTCTTAATATGTTTTCTCTTCCTCTTCTCTTCCCCTGTCTCTCCCTCCATCTCCTTTTATTTCTTTATCTGTGAAAAAAAAGGAACTAGAAATGAAAAATGAGACTTTCAAACATATTTATTATTGCTTGTTTGTTCTGTGGTTTCATTAAAATGATAGGAATGTAAATTAAATGAATCTATTCCATAGAAATGGTCCCCTGGACTTTGCAGTCTACCTGAAAATCCTTTAGCCTTTGAATCTCTACACTTTTTATTTGCATTTAAAGCAACCTGCGTATTATGACGGATGCCCTGATAAAATTTAATTCTACCTTTGAGAACCTAACTTGATCTTACCTTGCCTTCAGGCAGTCTAGTTTGACAGCAGCAGAAGAAATTTTGAATATAAAACTCTTGAATATTTAAAGTATAAAAGGCTCATTTAATGCTGTTCTGGTTCTAATACAGATCTTTTAAAAAAAAACCACAAAAGCCATTGTACATAATAGCAGTTTGTTCATTTTTTCTGTACTATAAATGCCACCTTGCACGAATGAAAACATCTCAAGCATCCTGCATTTGTATCTATCTTTCTTCTTAAATGCCAACTTAAAAATACTTTTATGTGGATTGAGCATTGCAAGGAATACTTATGATGCTAGTATATTGGATGAAAGATCTGTGTATGTATTAAAAATATAACAGGCTGAAATTTTGCTCACTGTTACCAGGGAGTAAAGCTAGTTTAAGTATTCCGTTAAATGAAGGGGCATTTTCTCCTGGACTGTACCTCTGCAGGTTGGAGACTGCATGTTTTAGAGGGTCCCACTTAGAAACAAAACACATTGCACATTGAAAACTTCATATGGAATGGAGACTTCCCCCCCGTGATACTTGACTTTTCTTTATGAGCAAGGAGTATCTTTTTTAACATGGAGTCATTAGTTAAAACATGGAACCCTATGTCTATAATCTCAACTCATATAGTCCAGAGAAAACAATTGCCATTTTGGTCAACTGAATATAAAGCAGTATGACAGAATTCCATAAAAATATGTGCTCCATTCATTTCAGAGGAAAAGGAAGTTGTGAAACAGCAATCCTCTGTGGGTGCACCTGTCCACACAAACAGATTCAATCAAATGAGGTTTACATTTTGAGCAGAGAAGAGGGAATTCAGCTAAGCATTTAAAAAAAATAATTCGCTGTGAATATTTTCTTCTTCTGAAACATATTCTGTACCTTTGTGGCATTCTTTTTTTGCATGTTTGAACTGGATATGACAAGCCTTTGGTTCATCTGTGTGGTGTGTGTTCTTTTAGGAGATGAAACTTTGTGCTGCATATTAACATTTAGCTTCTCTTTCTCTTCATGTATTTCTTACTACGATTACTATTGTTTTGGAAGCAATAAAATCACTCCAATTGTGTAAGTTGTTTAGTATCACCATCCACGCTATGGGGCCCTACAGGGAAAAAATTAAAAACATCTCATTGCCAAATATTTGTGACCTTCCAAGGTGCATAAGCCCCAGAGGGGTAGTCTGACCTCTGCAGGAGGCCAGCCCATGTACATTAAAGGTCAACTTGTCATGGAAGTAAATAACAAAACTAACAACATCCCTAGGTTGTGAAGCTCAACAGGACGAGGAAGGCTGGAGGAAAATGATGGATAGCATTTCCCATGATCAGTCTCTTCGAAGTTTCTGACCCATGGCCACACAGCAGGCAAAAGTCACTCCCATAGTTCAGCAATAACAAAATTCAAGCCATAATTCTAACAGTGCATAAGTAGTAAAAATGGTTTTACATGATCTAACAGAATTCCTTTTTTTGGTCCTATATCAACTTGTTAACTGCCTTTTGATTGTAACAGGAACCTATATGGACCTTTTAATGTTTGACCTCTGAGGAAGGCCCTTCTGGGCTGGAACGCGTTAGGTCACAAGGGTTTTCCCTTGCCCATATGACACTTCTATCATGTTATGAGGCTAGATTTAGGCCTGTGTATGTTTTTAAAAGTCTCTGCAGCAGATACATGTATTTTTACTTGCAATTATTTTATATTTAGGATTTAACTATTGGCCCCTTACCTGTTCTCTAACTTACTTTTGAGGTTTTTGATTCCATTTTGTTGGATTGAGTCCCCCCCCCTTTTCTTCACTTCACATCATCATATCCTGTCTTGTTAAGACAGGATTGAGCATGTAATTTTGTAATAGTATGGACTGAAATGGCTGCAAAAGAATTCAAAGATATTGCTATTTATTGAACAGGATATTTAGTACAAATTGTTAATTTGATGCTATTGTCAATAGCTGATACAACAAGAAATCATAGAGCAACCATCTGCAATTGAGAACAGGGCTTCTACACCTTTGGTAACTATATGCAAGAGGAGATTTCAGGGGGTAACTCTACTCACAACGACATCATATGCTATGACAAACATGGACCAGACAAAAAACCTATTCAGATCCTATTTTTTAATATAATTTATTGAGAAACATCTTGCAGGAATTTCTGCGCTTGACTGTGTGTTTTGTGAACAGAGCATATAGAGTTAACCATTTGATTTTCATGTTGCCCAGAGTTAATGTTAATACTGTGCAGTACAGTACTCTACTCGGTAGTGGATTCAGACCAGTTCAGTTATTATATTTTCGGGTTTACTCATGCAAATAACTAGTCACAATGAGTATGGTAGTCACAGTGTGTAGCCAAATGTGAAAGGAGAGTGCTCAAGGAATCTCTTCTGTAAAAAGGTGATTATGGAAGAGGAAACTCATGCTCTTGGCAGCTGTCACCTTCTGCCTGGACTGTTTTCATGCTGTTGGTGATCTGAGCAAGCCCCAAGTTCCCTGATTCTGAGGGTAGGCAAGAACCCATCCTCATTGTCCATGAGTCAGAGCAGCAGCACACGTGGCACCTCTAAGGCAAGCAGTGCTGCTCCATTGCTTGATAGGGACTGGCCCTTTAACAGTCCACTGCCTAATGAGCAAATGGAAGGTGGGTGCATCAACAGGTTCCCACAGGAATTGCTCAGACCCCCTAGGAGTTCCAGAGGGAGGGAGCCTACAAAGGGGCTGGCCCCAGGATAAGCCAGGCCCTTTATAAGACAAAAGGAAGTAGGTCAGGGAGGACACACTGGCTGTGGCTGCTAAGGTTGAGAGGAACAGGGTCTGGAGAGAGGTGAAGATCCAAGGTGATGGAAACCTCCTACCCTTTCAGTCTGAAGGCTATGCAGATCTTCTACATACACACTATGCTTCTCATACAAGTAGACTATTTCTGACTTGGGCCCCAGGAATTTTGTCCCCCCCCCCCATTCCCTTTCTCTTGGCAGCTCTGGACTTGAAGCTTTTGTGCAATGAGGGATGCATAAAATCTTTTTCTTGTGTGTTTTCCATTCTGTGGCTTTATCAGCACCTTACCATGACTGGACCTAGACCTGTTTTAATGGTATCTTCATCCTAAAATGAATGAGTTTCCTTTAAAACATAGGTTTCCTGAAGTCTGATTCATAATTTGCTTGAAATCACCACGTTTCTCTTTCTTAGTGTTGAACAGAGCTCATCAAGGCACGGCTCATTTAATCATGATAGACCTGTTATTCCTTCATACTTCACAGAGATGGGGAAACTGTTCTGATAAACTAAGACCTCTTCCCTGAATCTTATTTCAGAATTAATCCTGACCTTTGTAAACTTCTGAAGAAGTTTGGTTAACGTTGTTTTCTCCCTTTACTTTTCTCCCTTTACTTTTCACATTACTCTGCTTCTGATTACCCACTGGAGACAATACAGAGTAGTGTTCTTAATCACATGTTCTGCTTAAATCCTGCCATCTTGTTCAGTTCACTTAAAGAAGAATTCAAACTGTGGCATGTTTTAGCTATTGGTATTTATACTTGTAAAGCCAGTGTGTTTTGTAGTAAAACAAACAAAACATGAATAGCACTTATTTTGGAAAATAAAAGGTGCCTGGGATTTGGTCTTCTTTGAAGTTTTCCCTGTTATTTAGGGGTTAGAGGACCAATTCATACAATACATTTCATCTGTTACCTTCCTAAGGCAAACAAAATGTGTGAATCAAGTGATCACAGATATCATTGGTAACAGTTGCTCAGGTTCTTGGAAGAAATGCCAACTGCTGAATTAGAAGGTTAGTTGTCAGCTTTTTCTTCAGTCACCTTATTCATACATCATACTAATGCATTGTGAGGTACAGGGAAGATAAAAAGCACACACTACAGAGGAAATATTTATTGACCTTAGTAGTAAAGAAATTGCACTTGCAAAAAAACACTCTTCTCCAGTAGATCTAGATGTTCAGAGAAACTAAGGCTGGGGATAGTACTCTGTTGTGTGTTGTTGATGACCTTGCCAGATGGATCAGATGATCTGATCAGATCTCTAGATTGCCATAGAAGCTGAGTCTGCCTAGTAGTAGAATCCCTTAGATCCCACAGAACTGGACCAGGAATTCCCACCTGAAGGACAATCTTGGGTTATCTCCCTCCCTTAATTTTACCAGCTCCCTTCCTTCCTAGCCATTCCCACCACAGACACAAAATAGATCCATGGAAGAGGGATAGCTATGGCAAGGGAGGGAGTCCTAGCCAGCCAAACTCCATTCCCACACCTGAGTGACCCTATCATAAAACTAGTTGCTTATCGGGGCTGGAAACAGTCACTGATGTACCTGCCTTTTTTTGGGGGGGGGGATGTATTTGTCCTCACACCTTTCCATATTGCATTACTCTTGTGGAGGTCAAACCCTCAACTAACAATACATGCTCTGCAATTGCTTATAGGGTTAGGGCTGGTTAGTGGGCACACTTTTCCTTGCCTCTAGCCATTCTGCTGGAAGAGGTGAATAGTAAATTATTATGTTGGAATCACATCCATGTGAATACTCTGGGTTCCAGGCATAGGTGAGGGAGCTAGAATTGGCAGACTGACTTCCCAGCCCTGTTGCTTCCATAACTGCACATTACGCCTTCACTCCTG